AAAAAAAAAAAAAAAAAAACACAAGAGAAGGAAAAGGAAGATCTCTGTAGAGTGAGGGCCACTGACAGAAGGGGTGGAGTTGGGAAAGACCCATACTAGGCCAGCATATTTTAGCTACAACACCGGCTCCAGAGAGCATTTGCAAGTGAGGAGGTATAAAAATAGATGCACAATGAAAAAAAAATAGAACTGAAAGAGAATTGTCAAAGCACTGGTCTCCTTTGTAAGGCTCATGCACTCATGAGCTTTGCAAAAATTGGAAATCCTTGCTGCCTATGAGTTTGATGATGATGCTGTTTTGAGGTTTTAAAAAAACTATTGGTTGACCACCAGCTATTTGAGCACAGGTACTTTTGGGAAGAGAAGCTAAAGCTTGCACAGTTCACAACTAAAGGGCTTGGGGGCCTGTCTTGACCCATGGATCTATTTAGCATTCAAGATTTCCATCTCCATTCTGAGGAAAAACGGAGTACCAGGCCCAGAAGATGACACACAGCTCTAACCATCCAGCCCCCTTGACTAAGCCTTCCGCCCTGCCTGCTTTAGTGCTTTATGTCACAGTATAGCATTTGGGGCAGATTCTGCAATTATGTATTACCCAGGTATGAGAAAACCAGGGTTCCTGGTTATTCCTTTAGGGCTTCAAGACCCTTTTTAGATGTTAGTACTTCTTCCTTTAACTCTTGGATAGTGGCTCAGCTGTATCTAAAGAGATGTGTGCCCCTGGCCCCCAGCAGATGGTGTAATGCTCCCTGCTTTAGTGACCAGCTAGGGTTTATCAGCTCTGCATTGACATGGGCCATTCTGTACTTTCCCTGGTACTCATTCCTATGAGGATGTGGATGTCCATTCTGGAGTGGTGGGAAGAAGGAGGAAAACAGTTGATAGGCTAAGCCATCGTTTATTGATCAGCAGCAGCAAGAGCAGAGAGGCTGCACTTGGGCTGCTTAATGGCTTTTGCCTACAGTAGCCCTCCTTTTCCCACAGGGAGACTGACTATGTAGGACCAAGGTCTGCACCAGCTCATTCTCACCCCTGCCCCTTTCTCCCCCAGTGTATGTGGTAGAAGACCAAAGAAGAGACGACCTGGGCCCATCCACCTGCCTCACGGCCTGCTGGACTGCTCTCTGTTGCTGCTGCCTTTGGGACATGCTCACCTGATCAGCCCAGTCCTCTTGCCAACTCTGCCACCACCTTCTGCAGGTGTCCTGCCCCTGTCTCTTCTGATTGCTATAATTAATGACTAGCTCTGCACAGGCACCTCTACCTTCAACACTGGGATTCTAGATTAGCAATGGTTGCTGCTGTTTAATTCAGTGACTTGATCTTTTTAATGTTCAGAATCCATTTCATATTGATCTGTAACAAATGTGCTAAATGACTTTTTTTTTTTTTTTGGCCAAAGGCTTAGTTATAAAATATATATTTATAATTTTTAAAATATACATTCAAAGTAGTGGCAAGATGTAAGACACCACTGAATGATTTCAGTTATAAAATATATTTATAATTTTTAAAATATACATTCAAAGTAGTGGCAAGATGTAAGACACCACTGAATGATTTCTCTGCTCACACCCTGTATATTTCAATAAATTTGTCCAAAATAAATGTGTCTAAATTCTTGGGGATAATCTAAGTATCTTGGGTTTGTGCATCTTGCCTTCTGAACTCTACCGTTTCCACTCATCTGCTCACTAAGGCCTATAACACATAGGTGTCTCAGCTCATGGCCATTGTTCAGTGCATGAGGAGGAGTCTCTTTACCTTTTCATTCTGGCTCCTTCACCAGCAGTGTGGCTTCCATGAGGAAGGCAGGCTCTGAAGCTGAGTGTCCTTAAACTTCCTGGTCTCCCTCAGAGATGGGCACCAGCAAAAGCATTCATCACCACAGTTCAGACTTGCTTTTGTCCAGAGCCTTGGAAAGGGGCCTCTTGGTGAATGAGGGGTGCCCCAGGAGCCCCCAGACGTGGAGACAGACCCCAATTCTTCCCTGCTCTACTGTCCCCATCCACCCTTCGCACCACCAGCTATACCACCCATTGGCCACGGGGTGGTGCTAAGCTGCCTTGATTTGCTCCTTCAACAGGAACGCCCAGCAGGCCAAAGGCTTAGGCTGGCAGCTTCCAGCTGACCTCCACCCACCACCCTCCAAAGCACGGCTGTGCATCACCTTTTAGTTACTAGTCTTCACTCTTTAAAAAGAAAAAGCCATGATTTGGTGCCATCTCCTAGGTCTGTGAGGTAAGTTCCTACATGCCATGACACAGAATCACACTATGAAATGTTCCCACCATCCAGTGACTTAATTCTAACTTAGGAGCACACATAGTGGCCACATAGGGGAAAATAATTAGGGATAAATTTCTAAGTTTACATACTTTAGGATTTTGTTTTGTTTTGTTTTTTGTTTTTTTTTTGAGACAGGGTCTCACTATGTAGTTGAGACTGACCTGGAACTCACTATGTAGCAGGCTGGTCTCGAACTCACAGCAATCCTCCTGCCTCAGCCTCCTGAGTTCTGGGATTACAGGCGTGCACCACCACGCCCAGCAGGATTTTTTTTCCCCTCATTGAGTTTATTCGTACATTTTAGGCATACAGTACAGTTACACTCATTATTGGGATCTTGTACCTTTATATGACAGGTCTTGGTTCTCATTTTTAGGATTTTTGTTTTTAGTGGTACTGGTTGAACCTAGGGCCTTGTGCATGCTGGGTAATTTAGTTTTTTTGTTTGTTTTGGTTTGATTTTTTTTGTACCACTGATCAAACTCAGGACCTTGTACTTACAAGGCAGATGTGGCACCACTGAGCTAAATCCCCAGATATGGCTTTTTTTTTTTTTTTTAATTTAGTTTTTTAACAATGGCTGTGCTCAACAAGTGCCTTGCAACAAAATTCCTGACAATCACCTCTCCTGAGTGGGATAAACCAGCTCCAGCACACCACTGCCCCAGCCTCCAAGAAGCCTCAGGATCATAGTATCCATCTTGTGATACTGGGCAAAGGACACAGCCTTGGAGGTGCTGCTGCCTACTGACCTTTGGGCATGCCTGGGATGAGGCGAGGAAAGGAATCTGGAGGCTGAATGCCACAGCAGAGCTGACTGTACATTTCAGCTGTGAACTTAGTCTTTCTTCCTTCTCTACTAGTTGGAGGCCTGGAGGAGGGGGTGTCCAGTCCGACCAGAAAGGGAAAAGATAAGGGCAAAACCCCACTCCCCAGGGAGAAAAAGCATCCAGTGCAAGGGAACATGAGCCAAGGGCAGTCCCACTGCCAATCATGCCCTCTTTTCAAGAAAAACAGCAGAGTGGGACAGTATAAAAGGACAGAACTTTTATTGGCCTGACTAGCTTACCTAGTAGCAGGCTCAAGCAAAGCATAACCATCTGCCCTGCCTTCTATCTTCCCTCTCCTGGGAGTTCATGGATTACCTCAGGACAGAGGAGTATCAGGGAAGAGGTGGCAGGCAGAGCTGGAGGGAATATACAGATTGGAACCTGAAAGTGGCTCAGAGTGATACAGAAAATAGGGCGTGGGTTACTGGCCCAACCACATACAATGTCCATCTGGGCAGAGGGAGGCTGCCACCCCATGCAGGTCTTTCTGTCCTTGCCAAGATGAGAGGGGTCTAAAAGGAGTGTTCTCTAGAGGCTCACTGTGCCCTTCGTGCCATCAGCATCTCCCGGATGTTGTCCTCAGCTTCCTTAACACTTCGCTCCAGGTAGGACTTTTTCTGCTGCAATATGAGAAAGAACAGGTTAGGTGGACAGATGCAGCTTTTCTGTGCAAAGGGTATGGCGTCTCGGTGATCAGTGACTTCTAGGGACATAGTGTCAATTGGAAGCCAGGTACACACACCTGCCAGCCCTGGGCCGACCAGTGGACAAAGGGAGGAGGTGGCCTGGTACAGAACACAGAAGTGCTCTGAGGAAGGCAGGCAGTAGCACTCTTCCCCCAGCAGGAAGTGGCCTTTAAAAACAGGCATCTCAGTACATGAAGTTACACCAGTCAGACAAAGGCCAGGAAATTCCCGGACAAAGCTCCTGCCCCATAACAGACTGTCTCTTCTCAAGGTTTTCCATGGCCTAGGCCAGGCGCCCAGTCACCAATGCTGCAGAGGGACAGTATACACTGGTCTGTCCAGCAAGCCGTAGGCTGCCATGAGTGTTGTGAGTTGGATCACATGTCTCACTGAGGTAGATGAGTCAGGGTGGAATCTGCTTTTCTAATGAAACTGGTGCTGCCAGGACAGTGACACACTAAGTAAAGTAGACTTTTTGGACGTTTACCTCCTGCCCCATCTGGGTCCTAAATTAAAAATCTCAACTTAGTCAAATATAACTACTTTCAGGAGCCACATGGGAACCAGGATTACAAATGATTACTCAAAGGAAATGATGTGTGTGCATAATCCATCCCATGCTCACCCTAGAAGTATGGTGGCTTTACCACTGGTCCCTGCCCTGAGGACATACTTGTACTTGTGTTCCCACAGAGCAGACATGAAATGAAGGCTCCCTTGTACAGGAATACTATTCGTGTCCTTAAGGAATACTGAAAAGTATCCTCTCCTGTGGTACATGTGACTGACTGAACCACACTGGAGCAGTAATGTACAGCCTGGTCCGGGAAGCCCAGATGCCACCAGTGCTGTCTCAACCCTCCTCACTTCCTCCAAGTGCAATATGCCCTGGGAAATGAGGGACAGGTGGGCCACACACATATCACTGTGCTGCAAGTGACACCACAGCCAGACAACTATTGCCAACACGGAGGTAGGAAAATTGAAAAGACTTACTCCTCATGGCCTGCACCATCACATCTCTCTGGCGCCTGCCTACATGTCCCTGCCTATAACTTCTCCCATTCTGTGTCCACAACATTTGCAGGCTTTTCCATGCAGGAGCCAAATGTCACAGACAATAAATCTCTACAGATCTCATGTAAATCTGACTCCTCTGTCCTTTCTAACTTCAAAATTCCTCATGGCTAGAAAGGGCCCCATCTCTTTACTCATCTTCCTTCTGCCAATGTGCACACACACTTCCTTACAACACAACAGAAACTCCATAAAACTCATGGGACTGTGGTAACACAATTCAGGCCACAAGTATATACTGTTGCTAAGGAATTTTGTTTAATTACATTGCTAAACCTGATATAATTCTATCACTGTGATAGCAGAGGGGGAACTTGAACTTCCTTTGATAAACAACCCTTAGACTTTACTTGTGAGTAAAAAAGAGGCACATTCTGACACACCACTGAAGAATGTACATGAACTGGGTGTTGCACAGATGGGGGCAACAGCCAGATAGTGAGTCCCACACACCACCTGGGCACCTTTGGGCCCAGCCCCATGGGAAGGTAGGGGCTGGGCTGGTGAGGAAGCAGGTTCTCCCTGCCATAGCCAGGACTTAAGGACACAGCCCTGCTGCATTCTGTCTCTAGCAACTTGCTGGAAAAACCATAAACTTGGAACATAAGCACCAAGGTTCTCTCTGCTATATTACCTAGGCCTCTGGCAAATTCATGTTATCACTCTCAGGTTTAAGTATTCTTTATCCAAAAAGACTCTTCCTTCTACTTTCAATAATCATACCACTCCCCCCCCCTTTTAATTTTGAGACAGGGTCTCACTATATAGTTCAGACTGGCCTTGAACTTACTTATGTAGCTCATACTGGCCTCAAACTTGCAGCAATCCTCCTACCTCAGCCTCCCAAGTGCTGGGATTATAGATGTGTGCCACCACGCCCGGCTTCAACTTTTAAAATACAATGCAAACAGGGCCAGGGAATTAGCTCAGTGGTTTCACCACCTGCCTCACAAGCATAAGGTCCCTCCCAAGTTGATCCCCAGTACCCCACCCCCGCAAATGCAAGCAATCTATTTTAAGTCTTTAATTAGTTTAAATGTAATGGATAATTGTTTGTTTTTTTTTTTAAAGTTCCCACAGATGAAGCATCCACAGCATAGTGGGATCTACTTTCCAATAATTTTAATAGCTCCTTCCTCATTTCCAAGTACAAGTAAGCCCAGAAGACCCCCAGAGTCAAACTCAGGCCATGTACCTGTTATTGGTTGAGCTATTCTTCACAAAAAGATATGCTGAAGTTCTTATCCCTGGTACCTATAAACATGACTTAGTTGTGTATGTAACCAAGTTAAACTGAGGTCATACTGGGTAGGGTGGACCCAAATCCAATGTTTAATATCCTTCAAGGAAGGCCATTAGAAGACAGGAACACACACACACACAGGGAGAACACTATGAGTTGACAGAGGCAGAGACAGGTGTGCTTTACCTAGAAGAGGGCCAGGGATGTAGCTCAGTGGCATCGTGCCTGTCTCGCAAGGACAAGGTCCTGAGTTCAATCCCTGGTACAAAGAAAGAAGAAAAAGAAAAGAAAGGAAAGAGGAAGGGAGAAAGGAAGGGAGGGAGGGAGAGAGAAAGAACAGAGGAAGAGAGGAGAGAGGAGAGGAGAGGAGAGAGGAGGAGAGAAGAAATTCTGTGGATCCCAATCTTCCCCAACTCTATAAATGACAGCTCCATTCCTGGAAATTCTCTAGACAAAAATCTCCTTTCACACTCAACATTCAACCAAGCAAAAAAACCTACTTTGCCTGTCTCAAAATATATCTAGATTCTGACCTTAATGAATAGCCTCTTAGAAAGTCTCTTATGCTTCTGAGCCTTCAACTCCTTTTCCACATAGTAACCAGAGGCACCTTTTTAACACCTTAAGTCCTCCAATGGCTTCCCATCTCAGAGTAAAAAGTAAACCTGTTTTGTCTTTGGGCTACTAAAACAAAACAACATAGACTAGGTGGCTTATAAACAACAGAAATATTTTACTCACAGTTCTGGAGGCTGACAAGCCCAAGACCAAGAAACATTCAGTGCCTGGTGAGTGTGTGCTTTCTTCCCAAGGAGGCACCTTGTCACCATGTCCTCACACGGTAGAAGGACAAATGAGCTCCCCCGGCCTCCTTTACAAGGGCACTGATCACATTCAAAGGGCTCCACCCTTATGATCTAATCACCCCTCAAAGGCCCATCTCCTACTACCCTCATCTTACAAATTAGGGCTTCGCAGTCTCAATTTGGGGAGACACAAATACTCAGACCATTGTGCTTTTCAAGTGTCAGAAAACCAAGCATGGTTATGGTCTCAGCTAAATCTCTGATTCACCTCTGAAAACTTTCCCGCTCCCTTTCAGCTCCAGCATCAGGTACATTTGTGCCTTTGTAGTTCCCTCTTGGTAGGAACCTACTCTGGTGAACACACATCCTAACTTGCTCCCTCATTCCTTCAGGCCATTCTCCAGTATCACCCTATCTGAAAGGCCTTTTTGATGATATGCCACCCCACACTCCCTGTTCTCTTTACCAGGTTTCTCATACTCCCCCCAAACAGTAATCATCTGGCTGGCTTCCCTTATAAGAAGGGAAGGTCCACAAGGGCAAGACTATTTTCTGTTCCAAGATACAGTCCTAGTATCTAGAAGAATGGCTGGGACAAAACAGGAACTTGTCACTTGTTGAATACAGTGCATATATTATGGAAATCACATTGACGATTGCCTTACAGATTTGCTTGTACAGACAGTGCTCCCTCTTAGTTTTTCTTCCCAAAATAAATGAGGAACATATACCAGAGAAAGCAAGGCCAGGAAGTGACCATGTTCCTTCACAGTAGCTTTCTGATTTTGGCACTCCCCTCTCACACCTTGCTTCTGAATAAACAGATTTAAAACTCAAACTGCACTGATCCTGATGGGGACATCAAAGCCTTGCTCTGACTAATAGAACAGATGCTAAGGGTGAGACCCTTGGGCTCAGCAAATTATTTTTTAAGACTATAAAACAAGCCATCTCAATTTCCCATATCCTTGCCTCTGAAATCCTTAAGAAACTGCCCCATCCCAGGTTAGCCCCAGGGCCACTGTGAGCTGTGCAAGACAATGAGTGCCTTATAAACTCGGGACGTGTAGAACCCAAACCTCTACCAGCAGTCCCCAGAAGGCATGTGCTGCCCTCACTGTAGCCTCTGTCTTGCTGAGCAATTTGCCTCAGAACTCTTTTACCATTTCCCTAGGAAATTCTCTAGTGGCACCAAACCACAAGGCTCTAAGTGCAGTAACATTCTTGTGGGGCCTTGTCTCGATGAGAAATCCTGAGATTTCCTGTGAGGCTCAGCATGGCCAGAAGTGACACTGCCAGAGTCATTGCTCATCAGCCCAATGTTCTTTTCTGGGAGACAGACAGAGAGGCTGGCATTTCATTTTCACCTCCTCACAAAGGGAAGAGGCTCAAGTCCCTAGAACTTTCCCGACATGACACAATCTCTCAAACAGACTCCTGAGGTAATTCATTTTGTGATGCTACCTCTGTAAGTATTTTCCTTCTCCTTATGAATTTCATCTCCACTCTTCTTTAAATTAGTACTTATTGTCCTGTTTGTCATGTCTTAGGATATAGAAAAGATTTTTATTTCCTGTGTGACCCTCTACTTTTCCATTTTAAAATGAGGTTTTAGACAGTATCAGTGTCTCCTGCTTTTATTTAGCCACAGAGATATGGAGGATATCAAAGCACCCTTTTTGGCTAATCCCTGATCTCCAATCCAGGTGGCAGGGGCAACAGACAATGTAGTCATAGGTTCTCTTCCATTCCCTTATGTTCTGCAGTATCTGTGTCCACAGAGACCCTTTTCTCAGAGTCTGACCTAC